CTGTTCTGCATACAGATTGAAATGGTATGGAGACAGAATACATCCCTGATGGACTCATTTCTTGATTTTGAACCATCCAGTGTCTCCCTGCTCTTTTCTGACGACTGCCTCTTGGTTCAAGTATAGGTTTCACATTAGCACAATCAAATGTTCAGGGATTCCCATTCTTCTCAGAGTTACCCATAGCTTGTTCTGATCCACACAGTCAAAAGCCTTTGCATAGTCAATGAAGCACGGATAGACATTCTTCTGGTATTCTTTGCCTTCTGCCAAGATCCATCTAACATTAGCTATAATATCCTTAGTACCACAATCTCTTCTAAATCCAGCCTGCACAACTGGCAGTTCTCTGCTGCTATATTGTTCCAAATTTTTTTGAATAATTATCAGTATATCTAGTATACAGAAAGGGAACTCTAGTGGCTAGTGGGTAAGAAGTTATGCTGCCAACCCACAGGCAGGCAGACAGTTTGAATCCACCAGCTGCTCTTCAGGAGAAAGATGAGCAATTTCCCTCTGTGTACTTTACAATTTCTGAAAAGCCACTAAAGAGTCAGGTATGAGTAGGTTCTGATTCGATGGAACATAACAATAACAACAGTATGCAATAAGTCTTTAAGAAATATTTTATCAAAAGAATGAGTAACAGATAATGATTCGTCCCAGTTTGAAAACAGAAATAGATACCATTAGCTGAGTTTCAGTGGTTTTAAATCTGACCATTAGCCACAAACTTAGAAGTTGTTGTTGCTGTCTATCATAGAGGAAGAACAAACTCATAGTTGACCATCCAGCAGATTTTCAGAGCCAGTAAATCAGACAGGAGGAGACAGCCCATCTTTCTACAACTCCTTAAACTAGAAGCTGCTGTAGTGTACTGCAGATTCAGAACCAACCCAGAGCTGATCCTCTGGGGGGTTTTCAGAGGCAGTTAATCATACAGGAGGAGACTGCCCATCCCTCTCCCATGGAATAGCTGGAGGCATCCAATCATGTGCCTTCAGGATTGCAGTGCAGTTTCTTGCCATAAGGCCATAGAAGTACCTACCTTTAAATATGAGTTTCTGAGAAGACACTGGAACTCCTATGGCTTCTTCAACAAGCTGGGCCAAGTCTTGGACAACTGGTTCGCCAGTGCCCTGCTGTGGGCTAACATTAATGTCATACTTCTCGTTGCCTGAAAAGAAAGAAAAGCATTTGGTAATCATGACTCGGTCATGTCACATAAACCAATTCAACTTAGCACTTTATCGACTTTGTATTTACTCATATTCCAACTCAAAGTGACCGCAAATGTATCAGAATCAAGACTGTGCTCTATTAGGTTTTTAGGAAATCACGTGCCCTTTTTTCTGAGGTGTCTCTGGATGGATTCAAACCTCTAAACTTTTGTGGAACAGCTGAATATATTAAGCATTTGATCTACTTAGGGACTTATTAGGGAGCTCTTGTGGCTCAATGGTAAGAAGTTGTGCGGCCATCCCAAAGGCATGTGGTTCGAATACACCAGCTGCTCCAAGGGAGAAAGATGGGCAGTCTTGTGTGATTTACCTGGTGGAGAGGGTCAGCTACGAGTCGGTTCTGACTTGACGTTACATAACAATAACACAGACTTACACTATTATCATAACTCACAAAAATGTTAACAAGGCATTTTATCAAAAGCATTTTTAAAAAACCCTCATTGTTGTTGCGTCTCACAGTGACTTAACAGAGGAGAATAGTCACATAGGGTTTCCAAGGCATAATCTGTACAGAAGCAGATTCCCTTATATTTCTCCTGAGGACTGAGCAACTGTTGAGTTTAAAACCTCCAACCTTTTGGCTAGTAGCCCAGCAACTGAGTGCTTAACTACTGTGCCAGCAGGGCTCCTTGCAAAAGAGGCTCTAGTAAGCTCATTTCAATTCTTTTATTTAATCCTCAGAACAACTCCATGAAGTAGGTTTCGTTGTTGTTGTGTCTGTAGACTCAGAACCGACCCACTGGTGGATTTTCAGAGGCAGTTAAGTGCACGGGAGAATTGCCCATCCTTCTTACAGAATTCTTTTCACAGATAAGCAGTTTTAGTTCAGGTACTTTACCTGCCTAGGGAGCTCAAGCCAATGACTGGTGAGATCAGAACCCAAACCCAGGTCCTAAGTGCAAACTCCATGCTTTTCACCCATCATTCTGCTTGACAGCCTTTACCCTGCCCTGTATAGAATAGGTCTCCTCCACAGTAAAGAGCAAGGGTTTGTTTTCCTCCAAGTCTCTGCTATGAGGCATGCCTGTCACATGGCTAGTGTTCAGAAAATAAATAGACAGACACATGCAACAGAGAATTTCTTTAAAACAGAAACAACAATTATTTTTTCCAGATATTCTGAATCCTAAGGAGGTAACCTGTGTCCCACGTATTACACCAAGCCTGGAGCCCCTCCTGTCTGGGGAGGGAGGACTGTCAGGCTTTACCAACTCAAAAAAAAAGGAGACACTCAGGGTTACTGCAAACCACAGACCTAGAACCCTGGTCTCTAGACTCCAAGGTCTTCCCTGGTGGTCCTAAGGAAACCTCAGGGACTCAGTTAAAAATTCTGTGCCCACCCATGTTTATTGCTGTTTACTGTTGTTCACAAATAGCAAAAGGATTGAAACAACCCAAGAGTCCATCAACATATGAATGGATAGAGAAGTTATGGTGTATTTACACAATGGAATATTAGCAGCAGTGAAAAACAAGAAACTCAAAATATTATACAAAATAGGTGACCCTGGAGGACATGATGCTGACTGAAATATCTCTGTCACAAAAGGACAAATATACTACATAATGCTACTGTTATAAAACAGGACTGACATGGGGGGAAACTAAGAAAAGAGGAGATAAATAATGAACACCGCATGGGAACAGATGAGGGAAAGAACAGTTTAAAAAGAATATATGATTAGGCATTATCTGAATGACAACAGTCCTGAACAGGCAGTGAGTAAAGTGAACTGGGGCGAAGGGGGAGGGAGGAAATCGTGCAACAAAGAATGAATATTTTAAAGAGAAGCAAACTGGGGGAGGTTGGTTGGGAGGAAAAGGTGCAACAATGAATGAATGGAAATCCAGGTTTTCTGTAAACTTTCGCTAAAATCACCATTTTAAAAAAAGTACATATATTAAAAAAAAGTTCTATGTCAAGAAAAAACAAGTTCTATGTCAACTCCAAGAAACAACTTGGAGTACACTGTTGTTATGTGCCGTCGAGTCGCCTGCGACTCATAGCGACCCTATGTACAAGAGTTCTATGTCAACTCTGTCAACACCTAAAAGGTGCCCAAAATGCCCTCGGACCCCATGCACTGCAGGCAAACAGCTTCTGGCACAAAGAAAGCGACCCCACCAGGGAGCACGTTCAGAAACACGGGGATCATACCCAACATCCATCGTCAAAGCCCGACACCTGACCGCGCGCGCGCACACACAAGCAGGCTGGCCACAGACGGAAGGCAAACACCGACCACGTGGAAAGGAGCGCAAACACACGGCAGGACACCACACGTGGAAGCCCAGCACAAGCACGCTTCCGGGCGACCCAGGGTCAGGCCCAGCCAGCCCTTTAGAGCCCACCCGGGCGCCCGCACTGACTGTGAGTGATGGTCACCAGGATCCCAGCCGTCGCTTTGTCCTCGCTTTCGGACGCTTCTCCGTAAGGGACCACATCTCCGTCCCGAACCACGTCCTCGTCCTGAACCACGTCCTCGTCCAGGACCACGTCCCCGTCCGGAACCAGGTCCTCCTCCGGGAATAGGTCCTCATCCGGAACCAGGTCCTCCTCCGGGACCACCTCCTCGCCCGGAACCAGGTCCTCCTCCGGGACCACCTCCTCGTCCAGGACCACGTCCTCGCCCGGAACCAGGTCCTCCTCCGGGACCACCTCCTCGTCCGAAACCACGTCCTCGCCCGGGACCAGAGTCTCGTCTGGGACCACGGCTTCGTTCGGGACCACGGCCTCGCTGGGGGCCACAGTGTCGCTCGGGACCACGGCCTCGGTCCGAGCTACCTCCTGGCTCCCGGTTATCTCCTCGCTCCGTGCCACTTCCTCGCTGCGGGCCATCTGCTGCTTCTGAGCCATCTCCTCACTCCTGCACGCGCGGGTTGGGACTCTGTTCTTCACCCACGGCCTGCGATCGCCGGCGGCGGGGCCTCGGGTGGATCGGTCATGTCCGCTGGCCTTGCTTTGAACAGACCGCTTTCGGTTGGCGGGGGTTTCGACCTGACGCAGCTTACGGTCGGCTGAGGTTCGGACCTGGCGGGGCTTACAGTCGGTCAGAGTTTGGATCTGGCGCGGCTTACGATCAATCCGAGTTCGGACTTGGCGCGGCTTAGGGTCAATCAGAGTTCGGACCTGGCGCGGCTGACGGTCGGTTTGAGTTAGGAGCTGGCGTGTCTTACGGTCGGTCAATGTTAGGATCTGGCGCGGCTTACGGTCGGTCAGAGTTTGTCCCCGGCGCGGTTTCCGGTTCGCGAGGGTCTGGACCTTGCGCGGCTTACGGTCAGCAGGGATTTCGGCCTGGTGCCGCTCCCGGCCGGGCCGAAGGGCGCGCCTTCTGAGACCCGGCCGGTCCCCGTGGCCTCGCCGTCGCCGCGCACCGCCACGCTCCGCCAGGCCCACTTTTGTTCACCGCCCAGCGGCGGGAGGAGAAACCTGCTTGTCCCAACCCCGCGGGGCCACTTCCGGGCCTCGCACCACCTGCTAACCACGCCCCTCTGCTCAGGGCCCGCCCTTGCCCCTCCCCTCCCCGCTAGAGCCGTCTCTAAGTCCCACCCGCTCATTCACCCTACGCCCCGCCCCTACGTCATCTAGGCCCCGCCCACTACCGGCTCCCTTCAAGCCCCTCCTCCGACTCTCCCTCCCCGGAAGGCCGCACTGAAAACCCGGAAAAAAGGATCGGGAATCTCCAATGGGCATGTTGCGCTTGCGCGCAGGGAACCGGAATTCAAGGGAGAGGAGGGGTGACTATTTCCGTTTCTGGTTTTGCTCCAGTGTTTGGGTTATACTTTTCGGCCGGCCAAGATGAACCGATTCTTCGGAAAAGCGAAACCCAAGGCTCCGCCTCCAAGCTTGACTGACTGCATTGGCACGGTGGGCACTCGACCACGATTAACTCCTCTCTGGGCCTCTGACACCCCGCTGACCCCGCCCACCCCTGATTCGGGGCTCCTGCTTCTCACCCCTATTCCTGGTCCTGGGCCCAGGACACCTCCGCGCTCAACACCCCACGGTCGGCCCTTCACCCGTTACCCTGATCATTCTTGACTGCTTCCTTACCACTGCCTCGCCCTGTCTTGTACTCTGATGTCCACTCGTTCTCTCCTTGATCTCCACACCCCATCCGGCCGTAGGCCTGTACAACCTTCCCACCTTATCCAGCCTCAACTCTTACTTCTCTTTCAGTCCTTACTCACCCTGGCCACCTCTGATCTTGGCCACCTTAAGTCAAAACTTGTCCACATTATTTGGACTTCACTGACAAAACTCAGAACCACATACCCCCGCCCAAGAAATGACATTAAAGCTACAGCCATACCGGAATTCTTGTGGGCAGTGACTAAATTGTCCATTTAGCCAAGTAATTATAAAAAAAAATTTTCTGCCCTAACATCCCCTGAACTGTCAGAATCTGGGAGTAAGGTATGTTTGTAAAAGCTTCCAGTTGTTTCTGGTTCAGAATCCTTGTCTTCCATTCTTGACCATATGATTCGCTTCTTTCTTCTTCCATATTCTTTCCTCTCCGCCCTTCCCCATGTAGATGCATTGCCGTAACTACCACTAGCTTTGTTTCTTTTACCTACCCTAAAGGTGGATAGCAGGGCAGAATCCATTGACAAAAAGATTTCTCGCCTGGATGCTGAACTAGTGAAGTATAAGGATCAGATCAAGAAGATGAGAGAGGGCCCTGCAAAGGTAAGGCAAGTGACAGCCAAACTTAAGCATCAGATAGAAATAGGGCCTAGGCTAGGAGCTGGTGAAGGGTCCAGAAGGGATGCGCACAGACTGGTAAAGAGAAAACCCACATAAAGGATATATCCTTAGCACGTTGCCACAAATGAAGGCAAATGTGTTTCTAAGCACAGTCGTCAATTTAAAAAGTGTGTGGCAACGTGTTAAGGAGCCAGCAGAGAGGGAGACTGGACTTTGACCTGATGGGAGAGAAGATTTTGCTTATACTCAGGAATTTGAACCTTCTCTCAAGATGGGTCGATGTAGTGAATACAGCAGTGGGGGCTCAAGTATGTTGAGTGTGGTGAGGATGGCACAGAATAAGGCAGGGTTCCAATCTGTTTATAGGGTTGCTATGAGTCCTACTCGACTTGACAGCACCTAACAATAACTGGGGAGTCGGCCTTTTAGAGAAGTGGGCTGGGTCGTGTTCAGAACAGTGACTTGTCGGGCAGGGCAGGTAAGTAGACTGTAAGGAAGTGCTGTAGCATGCCGAAGGAGCATTGGTGTTGCAGTGGGTTGAGCATTAGGCTGCCAGTCTAAAGGCCTAGAATGCAAACCCATTAGCCACTCCACTGAAGATGGAGAAAGATGAGTCAGTCGGCTGCTGTAAAGTTGTAGAGCCTCAGGAATCCTGTGGCACAGGTCTGCTCTATCCTAGAGGGTTGCTTTGAGTTAGAATGGACTCAGTGGCCATGGATTTGGTTTGGGTGGTGCTACTGAGAAAAGTCCTGAACTAGGTGAAGGAGAGGAAGACCCTCAACCAGGGGATTGATGCAGTGAGTGGAGCAGTGGGCTTGAGTGTGTCAGGGCTTGTGAGGATAGGACATTGTTCAGGTCTGTTGTTTATAGGGTCGCTGTGAGCTGTACTAGACTTCACGCGCCTAATAATAACAGCAACAACAGGCATCCTAAGCCCTGTGTTCTAATACTAGCACCATTACTTCCTATTGGCTGTGACCTTAGTAGAATCATCTACTGGTTAGTTGCCTCTTCTGTAAGGTAGAAAAATAGAATGCTGTATTTAAGAGCATGGATTATGGATAAAGAACTACCCTGTCTTTTCCCAGCCATGCAACTTGGGGCAAGTCATTTAACCTCACTGATCCACAGTATCCCATTGGGAAAGTGAGGTAAGATCTGCTTTATAGGATGAGGATTAAACAAGGTAATTTATATGACCTGCCTAGCACAGTGTCTAGTACATGTTGTTGTTATTGTTAGGTGCCATTGGATTGACTACAATTCATAGCAACCCTGTGAACAACAGATCTGAAACCTGTCTAATACATAGTACTCAGTCAAATGTGAGCTATCAGTATCATTTTTAAGCAGTATCTGCTTTTCATTTCTCTTTGGAGAAGCACAGAAACAATCAAATAAAGAACAGTACAACAAGGGGAGTGGCAGGAGAGTTTTTCCGGCTGGAAAACATGAATTGATAGGTGACCAGAGGAAGGAAAACTCATCCAAACATGCAATAAAAGCCCAAATCTTGGTTGTAAGTAGTGAGGATGAAGTGAAAGTATCCATGTGGAAGTGAGTTCTGAAAAGCATTAAGGAGCTGGCTTTGCGTGGGAGACAACAGATGGAGTAAAGGTGATTTTGATATAAAAGTTTTCAGCTTGGAGATGTGAGAGATTGGTGGGGCCATTGTTAGTCATTTCCAAAATAATGGTTGAGGATTTGACCATTTTGAACACGAGTTTATAACTAGATGTCCAAGTAGAAATTCTCATTAAGGCAACTGGATATAGAGGATGGGCAGGCACTATTGTTATGGCAGGAGGCAGAGATGATCCTGGGAAAGAGAAGGTAGTTTTAGTGTGCTGAGATGTAGGATGCAAACACAGACCAGCTGATTTTTAAAGACTAAACTTTAGGATCTCTGTGCTAGAGGAAAAGGGCAGGAGCCATTATGTCTGCTGTTTTGAAAAAGAGAGTCAGTAGATAAGAGTTTGAATTTATAGTATTTTCCACTTATTTTCATTAAACTCTATTTTCCCCTATAGAATATGGTCAAGCAGAAAGCCTTGCGGGTTTTGAAACAAAAACGAATGTAAGTTACAAGTGTATTTTCCTTCTCTTTAGCAGTTTTAACCAAAAAAAAAGGAAATGGTCTTTCCTTCAAGCTTTTATACCATTTTATGAACATTCTTTATTTAATTACAGATGTACTTATATGTGTACATACATAGTTAATTAGGTCCCCCCTTACATATTGCTCTCTGAGATGTGTGCTGTGCTGCTCTATACAGTCACATAAGGTTGTTGATCACATAAAATGTGGCTAGTGTGATTAGAGGATTTTTAAAATGTTATATAATTTTACCAACCTAAAGTTAAATATATAACCTCCAACTATCATATTTGTTTCTCTTGTTATTCAGAGTATTCTTTTTTTGGTTTTGTCTATTTTTAAAGTTAAGAACCCTGAGTATGTATTCCCACCCACCTGAAGAGACAGAAAAGTCTTTTTGTTTTGATAACTATGTCTTGATGTTTGACCAGAAGCCAAATCGTATCTTTGCTGCTCACCCATGTCAGCTGAGCAGCTGAGATCCCCTGCAGGTTATAGAAGTCAAGTGTAGTCAGCTAATAAGAAAATGAAAAGATTGGAAAACCGTTTAGCTGTGTGTGTGAAGAGCTTTAACAGTAATCTTACCCCTGTACAAAGTGAGGGAATTCTGGTGGCACAGACCCTAGCATGTTGTGCTGCTAATAAAAATGTTGCATGTCTCCTGACACTTTAATCTTCCAGCAGCTGCTTGGGAGGAAAGTAGGTAGTTTCCTCTCATTAAGATTGACAGCCTCAAAAAAAAATATGATTAAAAAAATAAATAAGAAGAAAAACCTAAAAAAAAATTACAGCCTCAGAAACTCGATGGAAGCTTGCTAATATCTATAAGCCTGAATTGATTTGATGGTAGTGAGTTTGTGTATTTGTGAGGGCTTTTTGATTTAGTGTGAAGAATATACCCAGTGCCACTGAGGAATATATGTAGAACTTATTGAATGGTAACTTATTTTGTGTACATTTTTGTATGTTTGTGTGTGTACACTTTCACCCAAAATAAAATGAAATACATTTTTTTTAAAAAAAAAGTTCTTACCCTTCACCCCAGTAATTCCACTTCTAGAAATGTATCATAAAACTTTTATGGTCAGAATAAGACTAGATTATAGTCAGAGTGAGACTAGATTGTATCAGAGGAAAAAAGCATGTGTTCTAATAGTAAGTGTAAGTTAATGTTCTAACTAAAGGCACACAAAGGAAAAAGATTGGCAGAAAACCTTTAGAATGATGTTTGTGTTCATGTAGGGTGATCGCATTATTTTGTGCCAATTACTCTGTGTATGATTGCTTTAAAATATTTTAAGGATGTTTAGTTTTGTTTTGATTTTGTTTGCTTGTGTTTCTTCTTAAAATGATCTTATTTCGTGTGCATGTTATTTCTCCATGAGGAATTCTCTCTGGCTCACACTTACCATTCTCAATTGACTCCAAAAAGGTATGAGCAGCAGCGGGACAATCTCGCCCAACAGTCATTTAACATGGAGCAAGCCAATTACACCATCCAGTCACTGAAGGACACCAAGACCACGGTACTCCCACAGCACCTATTCCCACTGCTTGGCTTGGTTTCGTCCTTCTCCATTCTAGTGTATTTTCCCATGGCTTGCATAAGAACATGTACCCAACAAGCTTTTCAAGACACTGTGTTTTTATTTTCTTTTTAGGTTGACGCTATGAAACTGGGAGTAAAAGAAATGAAGAAAGCATACAAGCAAGTAAAAATTGACCAAATTGAGGTGAGATGTATACTAGTTTCTGTAATAACCAATTTGAATATGTCGAGGATCAACTCTTTACTAGAAGTGACTTCAAGAAAGGTTACTCTTCAAGAAAGGTGAGCTCTGGTGGCTTAGTGGCAAGAAGCTGCATTGCAGTCGCAGAGGTGCGCCGTTCAAATCCACCAGATGCTGTGCTGGAGAAGGAGGAACAATGTCCTGTATCAGTCAGATCCGATTTGACGGTACACATACACAAATAATAAAAAGTTTGAAAAAAAGGTTACTAAAGGGCTTAGTTTCCTTGTGTGCAAAGGTCATAGCCTCAAATTCTAGTATTAAGAGGATGGAATAAATGAGCTAATGTGACTGAGTGTATTATGCTTAGCATAAAATAACCACCTAAAGGTGTTTCCTGTTTCTTACCATCTTGTTGCTTTTCATTGTTTCTTTAACTATAAAATAATGTTACTACTGCTTATATCCTATGACTGTCATGAAGATATGGACATAATGTAGTTATCTTTATCTTTGGCATAGAGTTTGTTGATTTTAGTAAGAGTATCATTTACGTCCAAAGCTCACTGCCATCAGATCAATTCCAGCTCACTGTAGGACAGAGTAGAACTGCCCCATAGGACTTCCACAGCTGGAAATCTTTATGGACGCAGACTGCCTCCGTTCCATCCCCACGGTTTTAGTTAGTAGCTGGGTACTTAGCTGCGGCACCGCTTACCACTGCTCCTTCCCACTACACTGCAGTTGATGTGAACTCATAGCTGATCCACCACTGGGTTTTTTAGACTGTAAAGTTTAATGTGATGAGACTGCCCATCTTTTTCATCTTTTTCCTGAAAAGCAGCTGGTGGATTCAAACCTCTGACCTTTCTGTTTGCAGCATACCACATAGTGTCCGGCATCACTACAAGACCATCTTATAATGTCATTAGGTCTTTATTTTTTTTTTTTTTTTTTAATCTTCAGTCGGCACAATGTTTATTAATGGTAAAATTTGG